GTGTGTGTGTGGGGGGAAACTTGGGCTCTGGTACTCTTTTAAGTCGCTGCTAATTAGATCTCTCCTCCTTGATGTTGCTGTGGTATTGCTCTGCAGATTAAAATTAAAAAAAAAAAAACCCAACCCAGCCACCCTATTGCCTTCTTGGTCCTGATGGGATTAGGAACTGCCTTGATTGGGTTTTCAAAAGGACCCCATTGGCTCTTGCCACCCTCCCATTAGAGAGCCCACCCTGCTAATAGAGAGGGGAGGGTGTCTTTGCTCTGGGTGACTCTTTCAGAAGACCACTGCACCCTCCCTTGCAAGGAGAAGCAGGTTACAGCTGGGTGAGTGTTGTGCTCCTAAGTAGGGGTGGATAGGTAACTGTGTGTTTGAATTCATCTTCTCTTAAGAAAGTGCCATTCTTTGGGTCTTTAATTCAAACACTCTCGGTCTTCGGTAGCCTTTCCTCCCCCCCAAAGGGTACAAACCAAGATAGGGGTTAGATCCCTCCAAACTCTAAAAGGCAGCTCAAGGTCCTCCTTTAGAAGGAAACTATTTTTAAATTTATAAGTATCTTTACAGAATAGTTATCATTCTTGGTTAAAACTATCTCCAGAGACCAGTGGGATTTATACATGACTGGGATATTTGAATAAATAAATGAATAAGTTGCTTGTTCTAAACGATCATTCGTTTGGAAAGATAGGCACAGTTAAGAGCCCTTAGTTTTAAGGTAGGGTTTGATTCCTGGTGTGACTGCCTAGATTAGCTTCTATAGTTTCCTTGGTATTGTTTTTCGGAAGTGGCTTGCCATTGCCTTCTTCCTAGGGCTGAGAGAACGTGACTGGCCCAAAGCCACCTAGCTAGCTTCATGCACAAGGCAGGACTAGAACTCCCAACTTTCCTGGTTGAATCCTGACACCTTAACTACTACACCAGACTGGACACAGTTAAGTAGGAAAGCTGAACTGTGACAGCTTCTTAGGCTAGGTCGACTAATAGTTGCTTAGTTATTGTCTATTTCTTAGCTTGGCATCTTCTACAGTTCAATAAACCTTGGTTTAGCAAGCTGTGTGATCACAGTACTTTCTCAAGACTAAAATCAGACTCAGTTCAGGTTTATTTCAGTCCAAGAAATTTTCACTAAAATATATATTAATTTCTAAAGTAGCCTACCTATAGCAAAGTAATTCAGTTTAGTTGTAGTTTCTGTTATATGCTGCTACCTTTTTTTTTTTTTTTGTGGTCGGCCTCGCTTTCTGAAAGAGTGGGAAACTTGTCCCAGCTATTCACAGTTTACAAAGTAAAAGTTTATTTGGAAGTAAACTGGGCAAAGATCAAACCGCATCTCTTTCTTCAAGAGCTTGAAATCGGAGTGTTGGCGGGATGCATAATCTTTAGCTTACGATGGGGAAAGTGAAGTAATTTAATGACTTTTAATCAGAGGGAGCATGTGTAAATTAACAGTAACTTGGCCTTCAGAATGTGTGGGGACTAAGTGGGAGGTTGAGAAAGGGCTGCAGTTTCAGGAATCCTTACAATGACTCACTGCGTACAGCTTGCAACGTGGCTGATATTTTTTTTTAAAAAATCCACCTAAGCGCTCTCACTGTGTTACACAAATGGGGCTCGGGAATTTTATCAGGTTGTATAACAGCTTTTTTTCCTTCCCAATTCTTCTTTGTAAAAAGACATTGCTGCTGCCTGTCCAATAATCTTCTTTTAAAAAAAAAAATCTAATAATGCTAGAAGCTTTTCATCCTTTTCAAGTTTTCTAAATAAATCAACCCTAATACAGCCCGTCCTCGGCTTACAACCACAACTGACCCCAAAGTTTCTGTTAAGTGAGATGCTTGTTCAGTGAATTTTGCCCCACGTTAACGACCTTCCTAAGCAAATTGCTGCAGTTGATAAGTTAGTAAGAAGGTTGTTAAGTGAGACTGGCTTCCCCCCCCCTCCATTGACTTTGCTTGTCAGAAGGTCGCCAAAGGGAATCACGTGACTCCGGGACATAGCAGTGGTCATAAGTATGAACCAGTTGCCAAGCGTCCGGATTTTGATCATGTGAGCAGGTTGCTGCTACGAAGGTCGTAAGTGTGAAACACGGTCCTAAGTCACTTTTTCAGTGCTGTGGTCCGTTTGAACGGTCACTAAATATGCTGTTGTAAGTTGAAGGCTACCTGTATTTGTCAGCCTGCCTTCCCTAGGGTGCAGTGTGTGGGAAATGGTCAGCTGCAAGTAACATTTCCCAACAAAGATGGGCAAGAGAATTAAGGTTAATTTGGAAGGATCATGTTGTAAAGAATGCAGAACTCTTTAAAGCTGTGTGTGTGTGTGTGCGTGCGTGCGTGCTTGCGTGCTTTGTGCCTGACATGTAAATCTGTATCCAGAGCATAAATAAAGCTGCACAACACCATGTATGTGGCTAGTTGTTCTCTACTAGAATGGATGTATTGTTGGGCTGCTAATAATAATAATAAAAAAAAATTGCCTGACTTACTGACTACACCAAGGTTGGCCAATTAGGCAACTTTATGACCTGTGGACTTCAACTCCCAGAATTCCTGAGCCAGCACAGCACAGTTGGCTCCGGAATTCTGGGAGTTGAAGTCCACAGGTCATAAAGTTGCCATAGTTGCCTTCCCCTGGACTACACTTTTAAAACAGCTGAGCTGAAAATGAAGGGCTGCAAATATTGTAAAGATTGGTGTGCATGTGTGTGAAAGAGAGATCCATTGTGGCCTCTGCCGTAAGTCTAGACATCTTTCATTAGTCTGTTTATTCTTGAAGGATAGCTGTGCTGTACAGTGACATAACTCCCAAAGTTTTGTTGTGGGCCAGCCATGGGTGGTTTGAGCAAACAAATGTAGGCCATGAAAATTCCAGCTTCTAATCTCCCTTGGTTCTTGTTGTCTTCAGGCAGGTAACACAATTTGTCATGACCTTTTGTGGGTTTATTGTAAATGTAAGAGAGGTGAAAATGGCAGAGGACAAATGTTACTCATGCTTTCTTTCAGGAGGTTTTTAAAGTTGGGTAGGGCCGTTCTTAGAATTTGAGAGTTGAAGCCTAATGACTCATGATGTCATAAGCTCTGGGTAAGTTTGAGTAGCTTCTTCCAGGTAGAAGAACCAGAAAGCTATGTTAAAAGCTTTTTTTTGTTTGTTTGCTTGCTTAATATATATTGTGGTCACAATATGACTTGGGGGAAAAATGAGTTAATGAGCCATATTGAATGGTGTTCTTTCTCGCTGTGACATATGCAGGAGCATCTGACTCAGAGGGAAACTTTTAACTCCGTGCCCTGCCGTCTTTGGTAAAAAAAAAAAATACTTTTAAGCCGTGATTGAAGTATAGCTAGCTTCAGAACGAACAGCCCCAAGGTTTTGCTAGGCCCACTTTGTGAGCAAATAGGCAGCGAGAACTTGTGGCTTACTGGAAAACAGTTGCAAACTGAAGTTCAAGTTGTGTGAGATGATGATGAAAAGGTGAACCAGGCAGTGTCCTTGAGTGGACAATCTGCATAGTTAGCAATAAAAGGCAGGGAAAACCTGTTCATTAAATGGCATATCTTTTTATTTGACTACCAAAGAATAGTTAACCGCTTTCCTTTCTATCAAACTGTAAGTTAAGAATTTGCCCGATTGGCGGTTGATTCCGTTTTCATGCGGAAAAAGCAGTGGGCTGCTGTAGAGACAGTTGTTTTTCTGACACCGATATTACTAGTTTTTCAGTAGCGGTTCAGCAACAAGCTGAGCCTTTTCTTCCTGTTAAAAAACCTCAGCCACATTTGAGTGATACTATTTCAGAACACCCGGTTTGGTGCCTACAGCCAAATATGGAAGGTGGAAGTTCTTGAAGAGAAAAGGAATAGAGGCCAACAAGAGAGCATTGTAATGTAACAGAAGACTTTCTAAAATAATGGCATCTCCATAGAAAGTGACGTCATCAAGCGAAGTCATAATCCAGGGGTCTTCAAACTTGGCCCTTTTATGACTTGTGGACTTCAACTCCCAGAATTCCTCAGCCAGGCACCTGTGCCTGGCTGAGGAATTCTGGGAGTTGAAGTCCACAAGTCATAAAAGGGCCAAGTTTGAAGACCCTTGTCATAATCTATGAAACTGAGCCATTGGAGAGGAGCATTTGGAAACCAGAGCATGTAGCTGGTATATGGGGGATCCACAAAAGGGTTGCTTTAATTGTACGAGCAGATAGTTTATAGGTTTTTCACATTCCATGCAGCTATGATCCACTATTGAAAATGTTTAACTAAGATGTACCTAGAAATAATGGCTGTTCTTTGCTCTCCGCTTTCTTTGCTCTCCACTTTCATCTAAAATAGCATTTATTATTGAGGGGTATGTATTTCCTGGAATGTGCTAAGCATGCAAAATACCTTGATTTCTAATTCTGTTTTTACCCCAGTTGATTATGGATGCAGAAAGTCCTGTCCAGGACCGATTGGCAGACTGAATTATTTCAGATTCATTCTTCTTTGTAAAATGTGCTTAATCTTTTGCTTTTTACAACTGGCTTCTTCACGCTTTTTTTTTTTTGGTTAGGAAGTATCCCCCCAGCGGGACTATGTTTTATTATTTTATTTTTTAAAAAAAATATGAAATTATTTTACATAGCGACTCATCTCAAGGAGTGAAGTGACTTCTTTATAAAGTTTCACCTTTTTGAAAAAGTCCAGAGCAATACCAGGTTTTTCCCCAAGGGATGGACGATATATTTATTTAGACAGGCAAGGATTTGTTTTGACTTTATAGCTTTTTATAGAAGCTCCTATCCGTGAAAAGCACATAATGAGATAGAATCTTCTGGGTTGGAATGAGATCAGTGATGGATCCGGTCTATCCAGCAGATCAAAAGGTTCCTAATGTCTAGTTCTGTGTGCGATTTTAAAAAAAGAAAAGAAAAAAAGTTTAGTTTGCGGTAAAACCACGATGCCATTTAAAGTTGAAGCCTGTCTAATGATTTGGGGTGCTGACGTCTGGCTTCTTTCTTTTTCCTTCAGTGTTTCACAGACTAAGATGGATGGTAGCTTTGATTGTGATTGTGGTGAGCTGGAGCCACCTGATCATTAACTAACAGCACCCCTGCAACACACACACACACACACACACACACACACACACACAAAAGGTCCCCTCTTCCTTAGCGAACGAGACTGTAAAACAGAGGCGGGAAAGAGGAAGACCATCCGTAGAATGAAGCTGCTCAGGATCAGTCCAACACTGAATGTATCTGCACTGTGAGGAGGATGTTAACGCAAGCCTATTACATGCCTATTTATTCACATTTTCGTTAAATGTTGACCAGTTTGGCACAGTAGAGCGAAGGGCATAAGATGCCACTTCGTTCCATTTGATTTTACCCGGCGTTTCTTTTGGATGTCTGCGGATGTGCTGCACCTTCCTTCAAACTATGAATGCTGCGACCTCTTTCTCTCTACTCAGCCTGATCTGTAAAGAGTGTTAAGTTCTTAATTCTAAAGAGGAAACCATCAGGCCTGACTGGCTGACCATGGAATGAGAACCCCAAGAAGCCACCCAGCAGTCAATCTGGCCTTCTTCTATTCTACAAGAACCCGGCAGTCCACCAGTGGAAGCATCTCTCTATACTTGTAGGAGCGGTAATAGTTTTAAGAGGGAGGAAAAAGGATACGGATTCTCTTTCTTTCTTTCTTTCTTTCTTTCTTTCTTTCTTTCTAAGCAAAAAGATGGCAGAGAAGTTTGAAAGTCTGATGAACATTCATGGCTTCGATGTAGGTTCTCGGTATATGGACTTAAAACCCCTGGGCTGTGGTGGCAACGGCTTGGTTTTTTCTGCTGTTGACAACGATTGTGACAAGAGAGTGGCCGTCAAGAAGATCGTCCTCTCCGATCCTCAGAGCGTCAAGCATGCTCTGCGGGAGATCAAAATTATCCGGAGGCTTGACCACGATAACATTGTCAAAGTTTTTGAAATCCTTGGCCCCAACGGGAGCCAGCTGACCGATGACGTTGGCTCTCTGACAGAACTGAACTGCGTTTACATTGTCCAAGAGTACATGGAGACCGACCTGGCGAAGCTGGTGGAGCAGGGGCCCTTACTGGAAGAACACGCTCGGCTCTTCATGTACCAGCTGCTACGGGGGCTCAAGTACATTCACTCGGCCAACGTCCTGCATAGAGACCTCAAACCAGCAAACCTGTTCATTAATACGGAAGACTTGGTGCTGAAAATCGGGGACTTTGGTCTTGCGCGGATCATGGATCCTCATTATTCTCATAAGGTAAATAAAAACAAGCAGCTGTTTTCTTTTAAAATGGGGGGGGGGGCAGTCACATTTCCAGACCAGTTTGTCACAGGTGATGCTTAATATCTGGTGTAATGATGATGATGATGATGATGGAAGGGACCTTGGAAGTCATCTAGTCCAACCCCCTGCTCAGGTAGGAAAGCCTACGGCATTTCAGACAAATGGCTGTCCAGTCTCTTCTTAAAAACTTCCAGTGTTGGGGCATTCACCGCTTCTGGAGGCAGGTTGTTCCACCGATTAATTGTCCTAAGTGTCAGGAAGTTTCTCCTTACTTCTAGGTTGCTTGTCTCCTTGGTTAGTTTCCATCTGTTGCTTCTTGTCCTGCCTTCAGGTGCTTTGGACAATAGCTTGACTCCCTCTTCTTTGGGGCAGCCCCTGAGATACTGGAACACAGCTGTCATGTCCCCCCTCATCCTTCTCTTCATTAAACTAGACATACCCAGTTCCAGCAACTGTTCCTTATATGTTTTAGCCTCCAGTCCCCTGATCATCTTTGTTCTTCATAACTTTGTTGCTTTCATGCTTTGAATGTTTGAATCTTGGCAAGACCACGTGCGCGTCTTAAGCAAGATTCTTTATCCTTTCTTAAAAGCGATGTGCAAAATCTTGTTCTTCGGTCAACATGTTTAGCTCCTTTACATTAGTGTGGTTAGATAATGTACAATCTCTTTCTTGGACAGTCCTATATCTCCGGCATTTGTTGGAGGTGTTTTTAATCACTGGTGTGAAGACCAGCCATCAAGTCTAACACTTTGGAGAGGTGTTGAGGAAGGCTGCCCTTGATAGCCTTAGAAAAGACAGCTTCCGTTCTGATGTTTGATTGATTTATGAATTTTGCTCCACGAGGGCTCTCTTCCATTGCACAAGAATGTTCTATAGCTTTAGAAGTCTAGCTGGGATTATTATCTATAAAAGCACTGCTAAAACCGGTCCCTTCAGCAGAAAATATGGTGGCATTTGCTGTAGACTTTGATGCTCCTGAAGGCTTTGAAAATAGATATGCTGGCTCACTCTTAGAGGCCAGGGATTGTCACCTGTCTGTTTCTAGGCACACAATTAAATAATTGGTTCTCAGTTATATATCTGTCCCTCCTAAAGCAGGCTAAAGCGTTTGAGGTGTAGAGGGCTGCAGCTATCTGGATTCCATGTATACAGCAGTAAAGTGTTAAAAAGTCCCTAATGGATCCCATATAGGTTTTTGTGCACAAACGAAAAGTAATTTGAAAGGCTTTCGTGAAAAGCAGATTTTATTATCTGGCCTGCTTGCACCATCATCATCATCATCATCATTAGATTTTTATTCTGCCCTTTTTTTATGCATAACTTAAGAGGGCAAACATACATAATGCTCTCACTTCCTACTTTCCCTACAGCAACAGCTCTGCGCGGTGGGCTGGGCTGGTGCAAAATCACCCAGCCTGGTTTTCATGCCTAAGGAGGTCTGATTTCTAGGCCAGCCCCTTCACCACAACGCCAGACTGGCTCTCATGTTTACCTAAATGGAAAAAAAAAATAGCGCAGAATTAGTCTGCAAACATTGTAAAAGATTTGGATGATTATACAAATATTTCATGACGTAAGAAAACTCTTCCAGAGAATGACTAAAAACCACTCCGGCCACCACAATAACCCTATGAGCACAGGCTAAGCTGAGTCAGAATAGAGGCTTGGTACTGGGGTGGAATTGGGCCCATTCCCCAGAGCCCGCGCAACTCACGGAGACTGGAAAGACTCACTGCCACGTCTCTCTAAAAATGCTTGCGGCAACGCAGCAGAATAAATGGCAGGAGGAGCTTGAAGGAAGGCGGAATGCACGTGGCTCCAATCGAAAGCAAGCAGCGTCTCTCTCTCTCTCTTTCCCAGGGCCATCTTTCTGAAGGACTAGTAACTAAATGGTACAGATCACCTCGCCTCTTGCTATCACCCAACAACTACACGAAAGCCATTGATATGTGGGCTGCAGGTTGCATCTTTGCTGAAATGCTGACAGGCAAAACTCTCTTTGCAGGTTGGTGAAGACAAACAGGTACACGCCTGCCCCTTAAAAACGGGCTGATGAATGCCATGGGTGGCAGGCAAGCCCCTTTGCCCCAAGAGATGGGTGGTGGATAGCGACATCCCGGCTATGGGAAGGTTCCAGGGGGCAACAGTGCCTGCTGAGGGTGCCATGATAAGGAATCCCAGAGGACTACCATATTCATTCGTTTATTTAAAGGTATCAATCATCCAACACCAAGGGAGTAGCCTTGAGTTAGAACAGTGGTTCTCAACCTGTGGGTCGGGACCCCATTTGGGGTCGAACGACCATTTCACGGGGGTCGCCAAACAACGCAGTCCGCCATTTTTTTCCCCCTTTTCCTTAGCTGTGCTACTCCCTTTTATTCTATTGGCTTTTGAAAGCCAATAGAATAGACTCTCTTGAATAGAGTCTAATTCTATTGGCTTTCAAAAGCCAATAGGAATTGTCCAGGCTGTCTCTGCCCTGCTGAGCCCGCCAAAAGTCCCATTCTGCAAACGGTGCTGCACCAGTTGAGTAGTCCTCGACTTACGACCGGCTGAGTAGTTCTCGATTTACGACCGATTGGGGGGTCGCGGCATTAAAAAGGTTGAGAACCACTGAGTTAGAAGGTTCTCAAATGTAGCTGACGTTTTTGCTTCTTGTCTGCTTCTCTAGGTGCCCATGAACTTGAACAGATGCAGCTGATTTTGGAATCTATTCCCGTTGTGCATGAGGAAGACCGTCAGGAACTTCTTAATGTAATCCCAGTTTACATTAAAAACGACATGACTGAGCCACACAGACCTTTAACTCAGTTGCTCCCAGGCATTAGCCCCGAAGGTAACATAGCTCTTCTCTCTCTCTTTTTTTTCCCCCCCTTCCTCACTCCTCCTTGTTTACGTTAGACTTTGAGCCTGTGGTCAGGATGACTTTGACTGTTGTGGTGCACAATGTACAAGGCCCTCTAAAACAAAGAACAAACCTCTGGGCATACCGTGTACTGCTCTTTTCCAGTTCTGGAACATCATGGAGCCAAATGTATGTCTGCATCTATTATTCTCCTTGGGCTGTTAACTCAAAGAGTTACAACAGAAATTCAGCACTTTGCATGGAGGAGTTGATTTGTTCTCCATAAAGGGCCGAAACATTTGCATCATAATGGGCAGTGAGCTTTCAGTGATGAACAAACAAGTCTCCAAACATATGCCTGCTTTTCAACACATTTGATATTACTCATCTGTGGCTGAAAAAAGAAAAAGAAAGACAGCTTTGTAAGTGTTTCTGCCCAGCTACACAGGTGATATTTTAATGGCAAGGGCTACCAGGTGAATAGGTAGATAAAATAGATAAGATAACCTTTATTGTCATTTTTTTTACTGTGGACACAACGGCACACATCAAAAATGAAATTTAGTTGCCCGCTCTCAAAGTGAAACATACATGACGCACACCTAAACATACTATGAACTACATATGTACAGACCCACATCCCTACATATACGTAGCAAATAAATATTAAACACTGTCCATCTTGAATATATAACGGAAGGAGGAAGCTTGAGAGTTCACAAGGTTAATGCTGTATGGAATGAAACTCTGGCTGAATCTGGATGTTCTGCTTTGGATACCATGAAGCCCCCCCCCCCCCCAGAAGGTTACAAGGAAAACCAGGTTGTGAAGAAGATGTGTGGTGTCCCAGATGATCTTACGGACCTGCTCAAGCAGCGCTTCTGTGCTATGTCCTGGATGGGAGGGAGGGAACTGCCAATTATTTTTTCGGCCATTTTCACCACTCTTTGCACGGCCTTCCTGTCTGAAGCAGGGATGCTTCCAAACCAGACCGTGATGCTGTATGACAGGATGCTCTCCATCATCCCCCTGTAGAAAGTGGTCAGGACAGGGGAAGGAAGATGTGCTTTTCTCATGCGACGCAGAAAATACAGGCGCTGCTGTGCCCGCTTCACCAGTGTCTCACTGTTGAGCGACCAAGTCAGCCTACTCGTTTGCTGCACACCCAGGAATTTGACGCTGGTAACCCTCTCCACAGGTGAATCATTAATCCACAGAGAAGTGTGGGTGTGCCTGCCTTTTCTGAAATCAACAATGATCTTTTTGGTTTTTCCGATATTTAAAACTAGGCTGTTTTCCTTGCACCAGTTCACCAACCCCTCAATCTCCTTGCGGTAAGCTTCCACCTTGTCATCCTGAATAAGGCCCACTACTGTTGTGTCATCTGCGAACTTCACAATATGGTATTTCATAAAAGTACTGTTTTAACGTGGACCACAGTGTTAAGCTACTCGCCGTGTCTGATATTTTAGCTCTCAAACTGTTCATTTGTCTCATTGCCAATCCGCTATTATCTGTGCCTTTTATTTTCTGTTGCTCCATCATATTCATTGCTGGTTACAGCAGTGAAAGACATAGCCAAACAGGTGCTGCACAAATGCCAGGGTGGAGAAGATGTCCTATGTCAGAAGAAAAAAGGAAAAAAAAAAAAAAAAGGAAAAATTCACTTATTTGCATTACATTTTAATCATTAAATCTGTAGTGGTGCAGTAGGTTAGAATGCAGTATTGCAAGCTGATTGTGCCCACAGCCAGGAGTTTGATCCTGACAGGGCTCAAGGTTGACTCAGCCTTCCATCCTTCTGAGGTCAATAAAATGAGGACCCAGATTGGTGTAGGACAATATGCTGACTCTGTAATTCTCTTAGAGACGGCTGCAAAGCACTGTGAAGCGATATATAAGTCTAAGTGCTACGGTTATTGCTTTTTCTGGTTTCAGAAATATGAAACACTTAACAGTGTGGCACTAGATAGTAAAAGATGTAGCCTTGATATTGTGTTCAAATAAATAATAATAATAAAGTTGGAAGGGACCTTGGAGGTCATCTAGTCCAACCCCCTGTTCAGGCAGGAAACCATTTCGGACAAATGGCTGTCCAGTCTCTTCTTAAAAACTTCCAGTGTTGGAGCATTCACCGCTTCTGGAGGCAGGTTGTTCCACTGGTTGATTGTTCTAAGTGTCAGGAAGTTTCTCCTTAGTTCTAGGTTGCTTCTCTCCTTGATGAGTTTCCATCCGTTGCTTCTTGTCTTGCCTTCAGGCCCTTTGGAGGATAGATTGACTCCCTCTTCTTCGTGGCAGCCCCTGAGATATTGGAACAGTGCTATCATGTCCCCCCTCGTCCTTCTCTTCGTTAAACTAGACATACCCAATTCCAGCAACCGTTCCTATGATTTTATTTAAAAAAAATGTTTGGCTTTATCCCTGTAGCTTTGGACTTCTTGGAACAAATACTGACCTTCAGTCCCATGGACCGATTGACAGCAGAAGAAGCCTTGTCTCACCCTTACATGAGTATTTATTCCTTCCCAACTGACGAGCCCATTTCAAGTCACCCTTTCCACATTGAGGATGAAGTGGATGACATTGTGCTGATGGATGAAACTCACAGCCACATCTATAACTGGGAAAGGTAAACTTTTTGGGAAATTATTCTGGATACTTGTAGTTTTGTTTGAAATACCAGCTGATGATAAAATAGTTGGAAGCCATGTGGTGTTAGATCAGGGGTAGGCAACCTTGGCTCTTTTATGACTCGTGGACTTCAACTCCCAGAATTCCTGAGCCAGCATGCTGGGAGTTGAAGTCCACGAGTCATAAAAGAGCCAAGGTTTCCTACCCCTGTGTTAGATGCTCCTAAAATACACATCTGGCACAAACATTTCAGGGCATCTTAAAGAGCAAGTATTTTCTCAAGTTCCCTGCAAAGATAGTCCTTGGTTTACAGCCATAATTGAGCCCTGAAATAATCATTAGTTCTTGCAGTTGTAAGCCAAGGCAGCAAGTGACCAGCACTTCTTGGGGCGGTTGTTAAGTGAACACCGAGGTTGTTAAGCAAAAACGGGTTGTAAGTAGCTTTCGTGGGACTCTCTTGTAACTTCAAATAGTCACTAAGTGACTGGTCATAACCTAAAGACTACCTGTATGCTATCACTGAGAAGTTCTCCCAATTAAAACTGCGAGAAACGCACCTATAAAACGGTTCGGCTTAAAAATTGTGGTGTTATACCCAATTCTTACGAAGCTATTCTGAAATTAAACGGATGCTTCTCGTGGACTCATGTAAGGTATTCGCGATTGCAGGTATCACGACAGCCAGTTCTCAGACCATGAATGGCCTGTTCATAACAACTTTGAAGCTGACGAAGTTCAGCGGGATCCGAGGGCTCTTTCGGACGGGACCGACGAGGAGGAAGTCCAAGTAGACCCGCGGAAATATTTGGATGGCGATCGCGAAAAGTACCTAGAAGATCCGGCTTTTGATACCCACTTCTCCACCGAGCCTGCTTGGCAGTACCCAGATCACCACGAAAACAAGTATTGTGATCTGGAATGTAACCATACTTGTAATTACAAAATGAGATCCTCTTCCTATCTAGATAACTTAGTCTGGAGAGAAAGCGAAGTCAACCATTACTATGAGCCCAAGCTTATCATAGACCTTTCTAACTGGAAGGAGCAGAGTAAAGAGAAGTCAGATAAAAAAGGCAAGTCCAAGTGTGAAAAGAACGGATGGGTGAAAGCTCAGATAGCGCTCAAAGAAGCCTCCCAGCAGCTTGTGGGAAAGGAGAAGAGTCAAGGCTTTGACTTTGATTCCTTCATAGCGGGAACAATTCAGCTTAGCTTGCAGCACGAGTCGACCGCGGTCGACAAGTTGAACGACCTCAATAGCTCCGTGTCCCACCTAGAACCCAAAGGCCTCTCTAAATCGGTCAGCAGAGAGAAACAGCAGAAAGGGATGGCTAACTTGGCCCAGCTGGAGGCCCTCTACCAAAACTCCTGGGAGGGTCAGCTGGTCGGCGGCGGGGAAGAGTGCTTCCTCATAGATCAGTTTTGTTGCGAAGTCAGGAAGGATGAGCAGATGGAGAAAGAGAACCCCTACCCCAGTTATCTCGACAGGTTTTTTAGCAAGAAAGACCCCGAGATGCTAGACGCTGAGCCAGCCGAAGATGGAAAACCTGGGGAGAAAGAGAGAGAGGGGAACATCCCGAGTAACAGCGGAGAATTTCTCTTTAACAAGCACCTTGAAGCTATTGCGATCCCCCAGTTTCCCACCCCTGTTGGCTCACCCCTTAAGTCCTTGCAGGCTACCCTCACCCCTTCTCCTATGAAGTCCTCTCCTCAGATCCCCCATAAGACCTACAGCAGCATTCTGAAACACCTAAACTAAACAGCAGACATTTCTCTCTCTTTTTTTTGTACTCGCGAAATGTGTTCCTTTTTATTATTATTATTATTCTTATCCTAAGTAGTCTTTTTTTTTTTTACTTGAAATCAAATGATGTAACTTCGCTATGGATTTCCTTAGTTTTTCTGTTTACCATTGTTTTTTAAACGATCCGAAATTCCTTTTTCTTAACATGACGATGTTTTGTTAAAACCGGCATGTCGTTTGCACACAAGGGTATATTAAAGAAAAGAAAAAAAAAAGAAAAAAGAGCTTGACAATGCAAATTAGAGGAGGGGGGGGGAGAAATGCACTAAACCAGTAGAAACACTCTTCTTTTGAACAACTCGTCCTTTGCAGAGGAAAAATAAGAACCTTGCCTTGAAAAAAATCACACCGTGAAGACTCTTCTTAGTTGCATGAAAAAAATATCTATCCCTCCCCCCGAAACATTTTTTCATTTGTATGTATTTTAGAATTTTTCATACTGTACACATTTCTTCAACACATGATACCAGCAGCAACTGTAAACGAATGCAGAATTTGGTACGCATGTGTGTTCTACCTCAAGGTAACCGCAGTATGTGGCAAGCATCCAACCACCCCTAGTGCTTATCATAATGCACTTCTGTTTAGCCAGCATTATTGTAGTAGGTGGTATTATGGAGAAGAAGAAGAAGAAGAAAAAATACATTCAATATTTATAAATATTCTGGTATGCATACTTTATAGTGGAAATGTTAATATGCAGCGTTTTTATTTATTTTAGCAGATTATATTTTCTGTAACAGTAGAAAAAGTCGAATTCTTTTGACTTGCTTTACAGATGAAGTTCTTACTAGCACTGTGGTTTGTTGCCTACATAGCTGAAATAGAGATGAAATAACATCCCCCTATTTTGAGGTGATCCGTGTGAGTTTTTTTTTTTTCCAAAGAGATTCCCCTTCAAGTAAAATGTGTATAGGAATTTGCAATCTGGAGGTTCTCTCTCTCTTTCTCTCTCTCTCTCCCTCCCCCCAAAGGAATTAGGAATTGTTTTATCATAAAATGCTCTTAGAAGTCTTAATTGTGTTATCGTTTTTTAAAAAAAACCAAACAAAACCATTTTTGTAATGTTAGTTGTGTGCATGGAAAACAATTAAGGTACAACATTACTGTAGGTTAAAGTTCTATATGGTCAGGCCTTTTGTTTTTTAATTGTATGTTTTTATGAATGACGCTTCTGTCTCACCTGCCCAAATAAGCATGAGTATTAATTAGGTTAAATGTAGCATGTAGCATCTCCGTCTTCTGGCAGTTGGTTTTGCCTTCTGGGTTTTGGGGTGGGTGGGTTTTGCTTTCATATTTTGGGAAACTGATGTACCATTGGCTCCCCTGTTTCAAAGAAAGAAACGAATAAAAAACACGGCCAGCAAAAATGAATCTCGTGGTCTCCACAGGTAAATTGCCTCAGGTAGACTTGCCGACCTGAGCGGGCAATATCGGAGGCCTGTTTGGAGGTCTTGAAACTGGACACAAGGCCCTTCATAAGCAGCCCTAGCAGACAAGGTTTCCTCGCGTGTGTTTTTTACCCAGTTTATAGAGCCTGCTGGCTGGGGAATTCTGGGAGTCGAAGTCCGCTCAGCTTAAAGTTGCTGAGGTGGAGAAACACTAATTGACAGCACGTGGCCACCGTTGCAGTGCTGTGCAGGGGAGGTCGCTCTTCCCTCACGGCCGGCGAGTCCCATACCCACGCCTTAAATCCAGATGTTCTCTTGTGTTCGAAACCGGGGTGAACATCTGGAGAAACTGCATCTGATTGGGATGAATGTGTCACAACCTGCACTGCAGTGCTATGGAGATGGAGGCATGTCTACGAAGAGGTTTATTTTATGTGGGCTCTGCCCTTTCAGTCGCAGAGTTTTGTCCGAAAGAATAAACACAGGACCGTAAGGAGGATCGATTGGGCTCTTTTTGCCGCTATAATTTGAAAGAAAGAAACAATCCTTGGCATCCCAGAAATCTAAGTTGCCCTGAGTGTTTACCTCATGAGTTTCCTTCCTAAGCCGTATCCGATCAAGAATACGATAACAGCAGATACGACATCTTAACTGGGTTTGTTCCAATCTTTGGCCCATGCTAGAGGGTCAATAGCTGAAGAACATAGTTTTGTGGACGAACATTAGAGCAGGGGTTCTCAACCTTGGCAACTTTAAGACTTGTGGACTTGTCCACAAGTCTTAAAGTTGCCAAGGTTGAGAACCTCTGCATTAGAGCTACTTCCTGGTTCGATTTTGCACCTAAGCTTACTCTGAATTTCTTAAGTGTGCAGGAACACTTGATAAAAAAAAAAATATTTAATTTTTTTTTGAGACATTGGCACTGAGCCATTGTCTGATGACCGAATAGCTTTATCCATGAGTATTCCTGGCCAAAGTGAATGACACTCTGTGCATCACCATGGCACAATTGTATTTGTGGCACAATTACTCCATTGGTATCAAATCTCATCATTCCGTCCGATGCAAGGGGGTCAGTCCTATCATTGCAAGAATGCCATGGTGCATGGATCGTGTTTGCACTCTCTACCAATGGGCATCTGTGGGGAGGGGGTGCCACTGACCAGTTTCAACATAGCTTGCATAGCTTGTTCACCGTCATCGGACAAGATGCTACTCGGATTCCTTGTACATTACAAAAATCTCTTCCTGCAACATCTGAAAATCATCCCCTTTGCAGCCTCAGGTGGTTCTGCCACTTAACCCGGAACAATTGGTGGCCTTGGTGTTGGTAGATGAGTGGAAACCTATGGCTGGCAAGTCCTTCCCCCCCCCCCAAGTGATGCCAATTTGAGAACCAGAAGAGAATGGAGTTTATCTAATAAAGTTTCCAGTTTAAAACAAGTGAATAATAATCTTCAGTCTCCTGGATAACTTGAGACAACTGACACAGTAACTCGTAGGTATAAACACCCAAGAAACGTTCAGAGAAAAGCAAGAGTGGAAAAGTAAATAATTTCCCTGCAATATTTTTATTTCTTCTGCTCCAATTTCAGCTTTTCATGCAGTGGTGGTGGAAATCCTCTTCTCCAACTCTTGTTTTGCCCTCCTTTCAATCAAGTTTATTGTACGGCTTTTACTACGGAGACGGACACTTTCTCTGTAGCTGAGTTCTCTGTAGATTGCTATATTGTCAGTCAGCTATATTGCATTATCATTTTTAACTCTAAGCTGCAAAGAGGCCCCAATAGTCAGTGGGATTAAAACAAATCTAATATAATGGACCCAAAACACACCATTTGTAATTAAATTCAGGGTTTTTTTTTTTAAGCTAAATCCCCTTTAAAACAAAATCCTTTATTTTTCTTTAGTTGGGCAGTAAAGATACTTCATTTGAAGATGTTTCAGTCTGTGGCAGTGCTGCCATATAAAGTCTCCTTATGCTCTTGACCCTGGAGGATCTAGCACAGGACCTCCGATGCTTAGTGGGATCTATAGGGCAAAAGATTCCACGTTGTTGCTTCCTTTTTTAGACTTGGAAAGTAGTTAATTGCACACACCGGACAATATTGGCCAGAAATCTCTCCTAGTCTAGCAGGTTCTTTGTGAGCTTCACCACAGTGCCCATCATTCCCCATCCCCACAGCGAATGGATTGGGCTGACCTCTGCCTCATCGTGATGGCTCCTGCACATAGCTTCGTGGGAAAAAAATGTACATTCCTTGTAGCAGCAAAATGAGATCTAAATAAAATTCATTTTTGTGACAGGAATGAGTGAAGTTGTTGCTTCCATACTTTGTAGCTAACCTGGAAACATAGTTGGGCTTGGCTGAAATTCGAAGTGACCCCTTTGATCCCATTCGTCTTGCATGACTTAGTTAAGCTGAAGTATTTCTGTTCTAACAGCTGTTGCTTTAAAAAAAAAAACTATGGTAATAACCCCTAGAGATTAGGCTGAATGTCTCCAGGCAGGTATAAGCCTGAGAAGTTTCCAGGGAGGACAATATTAAGAAAATCATCCTGACTTTTGAATTTTCTGAGATGTATTATAACTACATGCCAGAGAGTTTTACCTAAAACAAAGTGAACAGCTGCACAACTCTGTGTGACCACTAGATGGTGATAAAGTGAGAAGAGAACTCTATGGCTGCCATCTAGTGGCTGATTAGATTTCTGCTGCTCTGATTTTATATCCTCCATTGCAGTGATAGCAAACCTTTTAGAGACCGAGTGCCCAAACTGCAACCTAAACCCTACTTATTTATCGCAAAGTGCCAGGGCCACATCAGCATTGTGTCTTCGGGGGGGGGCAGCAGGATAGGTGTGGCCCACTGGGTGGGCATGGATGTAGTCATGGCAGACTGGGTGGGTGTGGCCACCTCGATGTTGCTCATGGGAAGGACGCCTGTGAGGGCCGGGCAGGGTTGGGGGAGATCTAGAGGGTCTCTGGCAGGCGGGGCGGTGGATAGGAGGCTCATCCTGCAGGATGAGGCAAGGTGAGGCAGAGGCCAGGACAGGGGTGCCATTGCCATAGGGCAAGGCAAGGCAGGGGCCGGGGCGGCTGCTGCCTGACACCATCGGCCCCCATATACAGAGGCCAGTGAGCGCATGGAGGTTGACGGTGTCCGTCAGCCACAGCCTGACGGCCCCTCGATTGGTGCACTCTGTGTGGCCTCCCCATCTCTGCTGGGCCTGGGCAGCCATAAAACCAATGGGGATCCAGCTTTTTCCACTCAAGGTCGCTTTTTGCCTGCTGGCCCTGGGCATGCTCTACCACCTCTATGTGGGGCTTCCTAGCTGACCGCTCCACTTCCTTCATGCTGGGTGGGCCTGCAGTTCTGTGCAGCGGCCTAATGGATCTGCGTGAGCAGCTGGCAGCCGTGGTAGGTACGGAGGTCCGCAAGGGGAATGCGCTCCACCCGTGGGCCAAGGGCAAGACCCTCAAGGGGGTAACGGCACTCGTGCCCACAGAGAGGGCTCTGAGTGTCACCTCTGGCACATGTACCATAGGTTCGCCAACACTGTCCTACCCTATTTGGAGGGCGCAACATGGTGGGAAATGTTGAGAGAGGTCTCATTAAAAGTTATTTAAACCCTTATGATGGGGATATAAATGTATCGGACTTCTTTTGAAAACATTTAACTGTGACTAGGGAAGAGTTCCAACAATAGAAAAAAGGAAGAAAGAGTTTCAAATTTGAATCCATTTCTTTCACTGGGCAAGGCACTATGTATCAAAACCCTGTTATAACATTTTAGCAGAATCCCTAGAAAGCAAAGCAAAGCAAAACAAACCAATCCTGGATTTTTTTTCTTAAAGAAAAAAAAGACTGAAAAAAAAAATAACAAATTCAAAATAAAACCAAGGGCTGCCTGGCAAGATTATGACAGGGTGAAGAAGATGCAAACAAAACAAAAAAAACCAGAAAAAGAGCTTTGAATTTTAGGTGGCGGGGATGATCCACCAACAGAAGGGCAATCTGTTGCCTCTTTTGTGAGGCAATCCCCATCCCCATTACCCCACCAAGGCCGGCTAATGGGACCTATAATCCAAAGTATCTCCTATACTGTACATATAACCATAATTTTATTTTTATTATTTTTTGTATGTATTACATTTTCAGATTTATTTTTTTTTTTTTTGTAAAAACAGCATTTTAAGCAGGGGGGAACCTGCTCAATATGAGCAAAAAAAAAAAAAAAAAAGCTCTCAGTTGCAAGAAGGGACCATCCTTATCAACACCCCTCCATCCCGGAGGTGGCTGATAGGACTTGTAATCCAACACATTCCTCAGTAGAAGCTCAAAGTCACCCTCTGGATCTCTCAATCTTAAAAAGCACTGTTGCAAAAACGATGGGGATCTTTTAAAAACTGGGCCTTTGCAGCGGGGGGGGGGGGGAGCAGCTGGCGGCCATGATAGGTACTGAGGTGCGCAAAGGGAATGCACTCCACCTGTGGGCCAAGGACAAGACGCTTGAGGGGGTGATGGCACTCGTGCCCAGAGAAAGGGCTCTGAATGCCGTCTCTGGCACGCGTGCCATAGGTTCGCCCACACTGTCTTAGAACCAAAAGTAAATCTGGCGTCAA